CTTCGGTATAGCTCCCAAACCTCCTTCCTCTACTGTCATTCTGAAAGCATCCATCATCTCCTCCAAACAAAGGCTTGCAGATTCAATTAATGTTCCGGAGGGAGGGCCCCCATACTCCCCCCCCCCAGCATATCTCCAAATTTGGCTGATTGTTGATAATTCTCCATCTCAGAGAAAAGAACTCCGGGGTATCAGCCAAGCCCCTTCAAAAAATAAAAGTTTGACTTGGGAAATAAATGTAAGGCATCCAGAAAGTATCCATGATATCAATCACTCCGAGACATTTCTCTCCAATTGATTTATTTATAAACAGATCTGGTATGTCAAAGGCAATTTCCCAAGTGAAATTATTTTCATGCATTACACAGAATCCACCTTCTCTCCTCCCACTTCTACACTTCATAAATCATGAGAACCATTTAACTGCCACTGGAATTTCTTAATATGACATATAGAATAACCTTGAACTTTTCAACTCCTCCAAAACTCTTAAAAAAATGTTACAGCTGAATTTTAAAGCTGACACCTCGATGTGAATGATGTTGAGTTGGCCACGCCCAACCAGTCACATGACCACCAAGCCAGGCCCACCAACTAAGACATGCCCACAGAACCAGTTGTTAAAATATTTGAATTCTACCTCTGGTTTGAGGCCATGTGATTCCCATACTTTTGGCACTTGCTCTCTGTCTCCAATGAGAAAGAGGGCAGGGCACATATATACTCTCTACAGACACTGACAGGCTGCACGGAGCATCACTAATTTTCACTGCTAGAAGATCATATCTGTAGAATTGAGTATTCTCAAACTGGTCAACTTGGCCTTTGTTTATTCCCAGTTGGAGTTGCATCATTTTTCATGTAATATTTTGTTTAGCAAGGAGGGAAGCAAACTAATTGCAGTTCCTTGATTCATTACATCTCTGGGACCTTTAAAGGAATAGTTCTAGGAGAAGACACATTCATGTTGTCTAACAGAAACCGTTGCTTTTTCTCAGAAAGACCGGATACATTTTACTGACAATTGCAAATGACGGTCATAGCATGATCCCTAATTCCATTCACCCTATCGTTGATTGTGTGTTTGTCAGGGACAGCAATGATATCTGGGAAGCCACAGATTTCCCCCACACACACTTGCCCCATCCCATCCCCTAGTGTTTATAAACTCATTTTTTGGCTCTTCCCAATGACTAAATTTAATTAGAATTATGTTCTCCAAGTAATTTTCTTTATTTCTGTCAAATCTCTACAGCTAGTGGTAACCATAAGGAAGCAGCCTGTGTTTAGGTTTAAGTTGACAAATGACGGGAAATTATATGTGTTTTCTCCAGTTCTTCTTACACAAACATTTCCCAGAACAATTTAAACTATTGACATAGTTTTATTGTGAGTGGCCAGGTTTGAATTTGCAGTTGAGATATTGTAGGAGCTGATGAAATTCAAGCTAATTGTGGTACAGTATGCATTGGCATTCAAACAGGACCACCAGCGAATCTGTAACAGAAACACTGGGAATTAAATAAATTCCAAGGCGAGCTCTTCCTTTGAAAGGAGGAGAGAAAGTAGTCATTTAGCCTAACCATATTTTGAATTTAAACATGTCTCACTTGTTGTTGAGTAAAATTGGCAAATACTCTTGAAGAAACAAAAACCCCTCAGGGAAGATGACAGGTGGGAATTAATTTTACGCACTGCAAAAAGAGACAATCTGAGATACTTAGTGCAAAGAACTTTTTTTAAAAAAATGAAACGTTTGAATGTATATCACTGAAGTAGAACTAAAACCAATGACCTGAAAAGGCAGCTGAAATAATGATTGTCATTTATTCAGTCGTAAGGGAGATACATGGTAAAATCCTAACAGAAGGATCTAAGGATCTTCCAAGAGCTCTAGTTTGGGAACTGAGGGGAATGTTTTATCTCTAAAGTTTTGCAATCTATCCATAACAAGGATAAATATTAAGGACAGTGTGATATTAGATTTAACTTGACGCCTCTGCAGCCTCCAAATCTGTGAAGATTTCTCACATTCATGCTTGAAACTGAGGCAAAGAAGGGACGGGTCCATTTTGTAGATTCCATCTATAGTTCGAGCTATCAATTTCCCATATACAACTCACAGGTGTTTTATTGAAGGCAGGATTGGGCAATTAATGCCCCAAGGGCTGTATATAACTCTTACCCGGTTGCCCATAAACTTCAGTCTAATTCCAAAAAATTCTGTACAATCAAGTCACATCAGGCATTTAGACATGACTACTACTTCTGCGGTTTCTGATTTAGGTGAATGAGAAGTAGAAGCCAAAAATGAATGCCCTCCTCCAATGAACCATGGACTTCACTACTCTTCATGCAACTCCATCATCATGAATTTCCCACAAAAATAACAGAAGGCCCTTTTCTGTTTTAAGGAATTAACAGTCTACATCTAATAAAAGATACAATGGGATGGGGTAATTGGGAAGCGTTTACAAATATTATAGGACTAAGAGAGCCAGTTTGTGCAGTGATTAAGGCATGAGGCTAGAAGCAGGGATACTGTGAGTTCTAGTCCTGTCTTGGGCAATAGGCATGAAGCCAGCTGGGTGACCTTAGGTCAGTCATTCTCTCTCAGCCCTAGAAAGAAAGCAGTGGCAAATCACATCTGGAAATCTTGCCAAGAAAACTGCAGGGGCTAGTCCAGGAGTCAGCATTGATCTTAGGCACCAATTTTTTTTAAAAAAAGTACTAAGGATTTTAGCATTTTCTGGAAATGTTCAAAGCAGTCTTTAATATCTTAATTCCACATGCAACTGAATCAGAGGTGGTCTTTAGCAGGTTCCGACCAGTTCTGGAGAATGGATTGTGGAAATTTTGAGTAGTTTGCAGAACCGGCAAATACCACCTCTGACTGGCCCTGCCCCCATTCTATTCTCTGCCTCCCAAGTCCCAGCTGATTGGCTGGGTCTTCTTTTGTTGCCCTTCCAAAGGAGCTGGAAAGCAGGTTAGTGGGGTGGGAGGGAATGGGATCTTGCAGTAAGCTTCCCCCAGGAGCGGGGTGGGAATGGAGATTTTACAGTATACTTCCCCTGCCACGCCCACCAAGCCACGCCCACAGCACAGTAGTAAATTTTTTTGAATCCCATCACTGAACTGAATGATCCATACCCATCAGAAGGATGGGATACAGAATAAAAAATAATAAATAATTTCTCCTTGCTGCAGATAATGCCTTAGGATTAAATTAGTTTCTTGATCTGTACGGGTAATTTAAAGTTTTTATATGGTTGGATATAATATCATATGTTTAGTAGGCTGGCATAACCTGTGAACTGAGTTGTATGTGTTGACTGCATAGCCGGGTAGTGTGTATTCATACCTCCAATGTACTTTTAACTTCTGTCCCAATTGCAAAATGAAAAGGGATTGCTTAAGTATTTAACTACATCTAAAAAAACAATCTATAAATCTAGTTCATTCTGTGAGGCATTTAGACCTGAGTTGATTCCCTTTTCCAAACTTCTGGTGAGGGTGGGAAAAAGTGCAATAGAGATTATCTAGTTTAATCATTTATAATTAATGACACTCTGGAAATCTTCCAATCCTAGCAATGCCTGTGCTCTATAAAATGAGCATGCACATCTGCTGTTTCAGTTAGGACAGTGGGAGTTGACTGCAAGAGAATTCTCTTAGAAACCTAAATCTCTGCTAAGTAAGGAAGATGGGTGTGCTTAGAAATATGAAGCAGTTTGATGCAAATCACACTGGTGAGATTATCAGAGCTGTCTCTTCCATGAGCAGTTAAAAGTGGAGTCAAAGAGACTCTCTGTGACTTCAGCTGTGTATGATTCAGAAAACAACATTCACAGTTCTTTTTCCAAACTGCTGCAAACGTTCACTGCTAGTTGCTGTTTATTTTTAAGTTCAAAAAGCACAAGAAGCTCTAGTTGCCGTTTATTGCTAAAGGATCCAGGATAGCAGGTAAAAGCCGTTAATCCCCAGCAAGCTGCAGGGCAGACTTAACAGTTGAGAGATGACAAAAGTTAATTGGAAGCATCAGCAGTCTAACAGAAGACATTTTCGCAGTAATTGGGATGTAATATCTCCGGAAGAGAAAGTTTGCAAGGAGTAGCTTTAAAAAGCAGTGGTTCTCTTGAGAGGTGAGTAAGGGAGATTTATAAACTCTCTTTTTAAAAGAAAAGAAAAAACGTGAAGTGCCTTCAGAAAAAAAGAATGTAGAAGCAATTTGAATTCATCAAGGAAGCTTTTCAGCTATATCTTTTTAATATAGCTGCTGTCAGTTTTAGATAAAGTTGATCATACATAACTTCTTGTCAGGATAAAGGTCTAAGACATTTTAGATTTGTGGATTAGGAAATGAAATATATCTTTAAGATTTGGTTGTTTGCGGTTTTGTTTTGTTTGTGGTGATTCTGGCATGCGGATGTTGGTTTTATTTTGTTTGGTTCTTGTTACATTTGGAATTGTTTGTTTAATTATTTTTCAGAATTATCAAGCTGGATGGTTCCATACACATTGAGTTCATGTTTGTTTGTTTATTTGAAATATAGCTTTGATTAGACAACTTCCAAACTATATCACTATAATTGAGGTAAACACTTAAATGTAGATTGGGTGTTCCAGAGCAGTAAAAAAGAAATAAAGATGGAACTTTCAGTAAACTTGCAATTGAAATAAAACCTTTAACAATTTTTATTATCAAAAGTTGATTATATTATTTTCTCTTCCACCCCCAAAAAACACTGGTCTTATTTCAAGTTCAAAAACATGATAGATAGAGATAGATAAATAGATAGGTAGGTAGGTAGGTAGGTAGATAGATAGATAGATAGATAGATAGATAGATAGATAGATAAAGATAGAATATAAAATGACATTTCTGTATTTTTGAAATACTGTTAAATATTGAATTACTATGAAATCAGGTTGACCTGAAGATGTCCAAATCCAAAGTGCCAACAATCTTGCATCTTACTTTTTCCTCTCTCTCCCCCCAGAACCAGCAGACAGTTTAGATTCCCAACCCACAGGAATGAATGAAAATGCAACCTCTTTGGTTCAAAGCAGCAGTAGCAACAATGCTGCCAGTTGCAATAATTCTTCAGCCATCCCCCAGCCCAATTCTGCAGTTAAACCCTGGCGCAGCAAATCATTAAGTGCTAAGCACACCACCACAACATCCACATTAACTGTAAAACAGCAGGTTCAGGAACCTCCCAAACCCATCCCAGAGATGGTCAAAACTACTCCCAACGGTCAGAAATCAATGCTGGAGAAGTTGAAACTCTTCAATACAAAAGGGGGTTCCAAAGCGGTAGGGTCGTCTCTTGAATGTCCGGGGTATCGGGACACTAGTTGTGAAAGATTAGAGGGCCTCTCAAACTTTGAAGAAAGTGAGGAGATGGAGGCTGCAAATCGGAACTTAAACACCCCAGGACCCACATCGAATAGTCCCAAAATTGCACTTAAGGGAATTGCACAACGGACATTTAGTCGGGCTCTGACCAATAAAAAGAGTTCCCCAAAGGGCAATGAAAAAGAAAAAGAGAAACAGAAGGAAAAAGAAAAGGAGAAGGAGAAGGAAAAAGAAAAGGAAAAGGAGAAAGAGAAAGAAAAAGAAAAAAACAAAGATGTGGCCAAGAGAACTTCCGTGATAGAAAAAGCTGATATAAAAGAAGAGCTGAAGGAAGAACAGGTCCCTCCTGCTGCAAACGAAATGCCAAAAAAATCCTCCAAGATTGCAAGCTTTATCCCAAAAGGAGGAAAGCTCAACAGTGCCAAGAAAGAAGCAGCTGCCCCTTCACATAGTGGAATACCAAAACCAGGGATGAAAAACACCACAGGGAAATCCTCAAGTGCCCCAAGTTCTTCTGCAAAGGAAGGTGAGAGAAGCCGAAGCGCAAAGCCGGCATCCAGCCTCTCTCATCCAAAAGCACAGCTAGATTGCAAGAATTCAAGTTCCACATCAAGTTTAGCCTCCACTGATGGGAGAGGAATGGGAGGGTGGTCAGCTTTAAGTTCCAGCAGCAGCAGCCATGCTGTCAATGGGCCAACTAATAGTACCACCCAGACAACAGGAAGCAATACTGTGAGTGTTCAGCTACCTCATCCGCAACAGCAATACAGCCATCCAAATACCGCCACAGTAGCTCCATTCATGTACAGGTAAGGCACACCTTTTAATCATGACTTGTCATGTAGCTTTTTTGAAGGATGAAGAAAACTATAGTCATTGCTGAGTTGCTTGGTGCTATTTATTTTAAACAGACATGGGCCATTGTGCATATTCTGAGGTTATGGGAATGCAGGTAGCCCTTAGAAGGTTGGCCAATTGCAGCCCCATCTAATTTTAGCCTTTTTACCTTGTTCTAACTCTGCTACTTTTTTGGTAATGTGACCTTGGCCTAACAGTTAACGGTTATGTTTTGACTTGAGAAAATATGGTACCATTTGGCTGAGGGCAACGTACTATTACGTACAAGAAAAGTTTCCTTCTTCTCATGCAGCTGCTCCTCCTCTTTTTCTTGAAGAAAAAGTGATAGGTAGGTAAGGAGAAAATTAATTATGATGTAAACAATAATTTTATATGATCAAATCATAGTTTTATTATCTTTGTGCCAAAATCTAATGGCATTGATTTGCCTTGGGTTCAGAATTAAAAAGTTATTCGCTGTAGTTATATGGTATCTACAGAAACGTTCTGGCTTGATACATTGGTGAAAAGTAGATGCCAGGCTCCACTGGTTTTGTTGATATAATTGGAGAATAATCAACTAATCAGTTAATTGCTACATTCCAGCATCAACCAAAGCCATAACTTGGACAACATTTTTGGAGGCTGAAAAAGTGAATTCAGTCTTGTCTGATGTGCCTAAGTGATTATACGTAGATATATTTTGGTAGGAAAAAAACTGAGAGCAAAAATGTTCAAGAAGAAAGTCAAAAAGGTGGAATATGAATTAATACAATAGAATACACAATTAAATAATAATATATCTATGGTATGCCACATCCTTCTAAGAAGAAAGACCATAATAAGAACTTAATTTTCAACAGACTAGTTTTTACCTAACACCATTTGTCTCACTCCAAATATTTTATTAGCCCAATTTCATACATCATTAACAGACATTATGACATCATTCTGTAGATAAAGAAGGATAGAATATCATAGTATAGCATAGGATTAGAAAGAGTGGAGTAGAATAGAGTGGAGTGGAATGGAATGGAATAGAATAGAATAGAATAGAATAGAATAGAATAGAATAGAATAGA